TGATTAATCGTAAAAGTCGCCTTTGAAGCAAAGCCATGTTTCCATCTTGTTTTCCATCGTTGAACTTTGACTGGATCTTTTAAAGGACGCCAATAACTGAGAAATGATGGAAGGATCAAGCATCTGGAAATTTGCTTACAATTGCACCACATTTGGTTGGACACTTAACTACAGAGAGAAAAATAGCAGAACAGACTTTTGCATTCGATATTAAAAGCAGAGCACAGCTGAGAGTTGTTTACAAAAGATGTTGCATCAGCGCGCTGGGAGGATTTCACCAACACGTCTGCCCTCCTCGTATGTTGTGCTTCCCTTCAGAGGAGGGGGAGGAGTTTACAGTAAATGAGAGCTCAGCTCAGGAGGTGAAATGATCAATATTTACTCTGCAGAGTAAAATTGATCAGTGTTTCTTACTTAAATAAAAGTAGCACTTTAATATTAGTTTATCGTTTTTGGGATTTTTATGGTGCACAGTTTAGTAGTGTAATGTACTTTTTCTCTCTGAATATTAAAGATTTTCTATTAAATGTTTTCATTTGAACTGTAGAAATGAAAGAGCTTCTGTATCTAAAAGTTTCAGTTCATCAATATGGAAGAGCCTCTTTATTTTTTCTTGGTCTACAATGAAATTAAATGAATATCAGGAGTTTAGAATAAGAACTATGAAAACTTCAGCCTCTTCTAAATGACTTCATTTGCATTTTAAAAAAAGGTAGGTTTTAATTTATTTCTATGTAGTAGATCATTAGATCTAATCAAACTAAATCCAGCAGAAACGAGAAGAGACTCATGTTGTTTCTTCTGTTTCTTCCAGCAGCTGAAAACTGATGAACGGCCTGACGCTTCATTTCCACCTTCTCATGGTGACACACACTCACTTTCTACTTGGTGCTCCTCATGATAGTTTGGCTGAAACCTCGTCATGTCCCATCTGAAATATTTCATGTCCTCACTCTACAGATTTCCTTCTACAGTCCCGCAGCAGCCTTTCCCTCAGACCAGGTCAGCACATTTACAAATGTTGCCTGACATTACATCAAACTTCCACATCCTCTGAACTGTCTTCTAACACTCTGAGCTGTTTGATCTGAGACACTTTGCCTCTCTTTCTAGAGCTTTTCACGTCTTCCTTTGACGTCTGACTCCAAAATTAATTTATAGGTTTGAACCCACGGCCCCAGAACACCTGTAGAGCCAGCTTAGCCCCTGAGCTACCGGGCCAGAGACTCTGAGCTCATCATGTTGTCGGACCTTCAAACTTATTTAAGGATCCTCCACCAGCCTGAGCTAACGTGCTGGAGAGCTCTGAGTGCTCCTCCATGGAGATTTGACTCCAAACTGCAGGTCTTTTCAGATATTGTCTTTTTATTTCTTCAACCGTGTTGAAAGCTAAGAGCTCATGAGTCTTTGGTTTCAACATCAGCTTTAAGATGGATCAAACTCATGCTAATGCTACTGCTAATGACCAAACACTGCAACCTATTAAACATCAGCCTCAGCTGTTCTTTGTGTTCTGCTCATAAGCAAAGGTCAGCACGCTAAGCTAAGATGGTGAACATTAAACTTTCTGCATGTTAGCATGTTGCCTCTGTGAGTCCTCCCACAAATCTGAGCTTCAGAAAGAGAGACACACAAAGACTTTTAGAAACTTTCTCTCCGGTCTCAGACACAGAGTTTATCTGCTGAGGAAGAAATGTTGGTCAAACATTTCCTATACGAGTTCTTTAATCCACTTTCATTAAGGACTTCTCAATGGGACGTAACTGCAGGAAGGAGAGTTTCTTTACCGTCCGTTAACTGCCAACGTTGGGACGGGAGTTAGTTTACAGTGGAAACTTTAAATTATTCTTAATCCACTGGAAGATTTCTGGTGAAAAATGAGAGTTTAAAGACGGTTTACAGACAAAACCACCTGTGAAACTCTGTAAAAGGCTCCAACAGGCGCTCTGCTGGCTTCAGACTGTGAGATTGAGGGTTCAGGCCTCAACTAGTCTTTGTGTTCGAAACAACATGTCTGGCCAGCGAGTGAAGCGGCTGCACAACTGATCTGAACCTGAAAGGTTCAAACCATGTGTGACTGAAACGCTTAGAGGTCATTCAGTTAATCAGTCAGCTGTGCAACAGACTGAAACCACAAGAAGCTTTAAAACCAGAGCGGGCAGCGTGTCTGGCCCGGTGGCTCGGGGTGTTCGTTACCTTTCAGGTGTTCTGAGGCCGTGGGTTCGATCCCCGCTCAAACCTATAAATTAATTTTGGAGTCAAAGGAAGAAGTGAAAAGCTGTAAGAAAGAAAGAGTCAGTGGTCAGATCAAACAGCTCAGAGTGTTAGAAGGCTGCTCAGAAGCTATGTGGACGTGGTTCGATCCCCGGGGACTCTTTAAGTCTGAACCACACTCAGAGGAAACAGTGAGAAGCTATAGATGCTGCTGGTGTCTTGAGGTTGTGGGTTTGATCCTTAAATAACTTTAGGAATTTGAGGTCCGACCTGAAAGGAAAGACTGAAGAGCTGACAACACCTTAGTGTCAGAGTCTCTGGCCTGTGGTCAGAGTGTTAGAAACCTCTACAGGTGTTTAGAGGATGTGGGTTCGATCCTCACTCCTTTCAGAGACTTTGAAGTTGGTGGTCCAAAGGAAGAAGTGAAAAGCTGTAAGAAAGAAAGAGTCAGTGTCTCAGATCAAACAGCTCAGAGTGTTAGAAGGCTGCTCAGAAGCTCTGAGGTTGTGGGTTCGATCCTTATGAGGCTCAGTGACTTTTGAAGTCCAACAGCCAAAGTGAGAAGATAAAGCGCCCGGAGAAAAGGTTCAGATGTGAAGGGGACTCGGCGGCGGCGGTGGGGTTCGATGGCGACCGCGAGGCAGGCGGTGCAGCGGTGGTTCGAATCCGCGTGCGGCCGGGTACCCGGAGCCGGTCCCGCGGCGTCGGGTTCGGGAGGGGGCCGTGTCCCCTCCGGTGTTCTGAGAGGTAGAAGCTGGGGTTTATGGAGCGGGAAACAGGAAGTGGCTGAAGTTTTCCTAAAAGGTGAAGATGACTGACAGCACAAGGTCTTTATTGGTCCAGAACAGGTGCTGCTGGGACCGTGGTGTCAGCTGTCCTCAGGGCAGCAGCTGGAAGCGAGTCTTCAGGGTGTCCCCAACAGCCTGGAAGAGACAGAAGAAGAAATGAGTCCACAGGTTTGTGACGAGTGAACAGTTTGAAAATCCATCAGTGAGTGAAGCTGCAGACAAGAAACAATAATCCATTCAACAAACAGAGTGTTTCCATGGAGATGATGATGTGAAGCAGCGGTGGAAGAAGCAAAAGCCAGCAGGCACAGTGTAAAAGTACTGTGTTCGAGTCCAGTAACAGTATAAGCATCTTTATATAGCGCTGGCTATCTGAAGCTAACATGATCCATCAACATGTGATAGTTACTGTGTGTTTGTGTTAATAATGTGCAGAGTGAGTAAAAAGTGCAGCATTTGGCCTGAAATGTAGTGGAGTCCAGGTCTATGAGGTCCAGGTCAGATGTAATGTCAGTAATATCAGTGTGAGCAGGGATCAGTAGAATCTGAAGCTGATACAGTAGCAGTGTATTAGTGTTAGTTCATTTAGTGTGAGCATGTGAAGAAGAAGAAGAAGAAGAAGAAGAATGTGCTGACCTGGTCTGAGGGAAAGGCTGCTGCGGGACTGTAGAAGGAAATCTGTAGAGTGAGGACATGAAATATATTCAGATGGGACATGACGAGGTTTTGCTAGTTCTTGTTCTAAACCTGATATTCATTTAATTTCATTGTAGACCAAAGAAAAAATAAAGAGGTTCTTGCATATATTGATGAACTGAAACTTTTAGATACTCGCGCGTTTCTTTCTTGGTGAAATCCTCCCAGCGTCAGATCCCGACCAGCTGAAAAAATGAAAA